AGACGCGACCCATAATTTCGGTATCAACTTCAAAAGCAGCTTATGTTAGCAACGAACTATCGAATATCAACTCTGTGCTTTTTTCGCAGTTCGGATCAAATCCGGCCGACACTCTAAATGAGGCGCTTATCACACTTCTTAAACATCAACAACAAGAAACGAAAGACCAGCGAAATACTCGCAAGAGTTGTATTGGATCTGACAGTGTAGTTAATTTGGAAGACATTGTACTGGTCGATCCCCAACCGCCTCTGGAAGTCGATCCGCAGGATGTGAAGTACATTGAAGATGACTACATCTCTCCGCAGTCCCAGCAGGGATCACAATACAATTTTAAAAGGCGCAAAACAGATATTCGTTCATCAGAGCCGTCTGAAGTCGTAGTGCTCGATAACAGCGGATCCCCAAATTTAAAGAATTCAAAAGAATTATGTCCCAGTACAAAACAGATTTTATCTAGACAAACAAAGAAAATTACAAGTGCGGGAGCTCCCAGAAAAGAATCTACAGGTCAGTTGACGCAGGCTCCCACAAGTACCGTCTCGGAAGCCATTGGCGATCCTAAGGCCAGAGCCATTAATTCAAAAGAAAATCCCGAAGTGTGTGAATCAGCCCCGGACAACGGGGCTAGTGACGATACTGATGATAGCAAAGCAGGATCGGTATCCGTTCGGAAGTCGGAAGTCAAAGCAGCGCTCGGACAAAAGCTTTTGGAGGCAATCGGACTTTCTCAGTTGGGAAAGGATGTCGCGCCTGAAAACTCCCGCGATACGCTTAGAAGTGCGCTAAAGCGCTCTATAAAACAGGCTCAGGAGCAACAGCAGCAGCTAAAACGAGGTAATCATGAAGAACCTGTAAAGCAACTGGCCGATTCCACGACCAAGCTTAGCGCAGCAGAATCGGCGGATGAGCATAAGAAAGCAATTGCCGAGCGAGAGCTTGCCCTGCTGAATCGTGGATTGAAAGCAGGAGAAGAAAACACATTTCCCATTAAAGAGTGAGTTGTAAATTTGTTAATACAGACTTATTTTTTAAATGTTTACCAAATTTTTAGGGATAAGTCGGAGCGCACTGATGTGAGTTCTTCATCTTCACGAAACCGCCGAGGCCGTAAATCAAAGATTGATCCTAGCGCAGAGGATTTTGGCGATGAGGAAAAAAAAAACTCTAGATGGGATGAGGACGATGACTTGCCATTAAAGGCAGATACGGAAAAATCTTCGGAACGGAGCAGCAGCAACACCCGACCGACCCGTACTAGCAAAACGTTATCAAAGTATTATAAAGGACCAACTTCTAAATCACACCATGCCATGGGTACACGCTCAACACGACAGCGCTGAGATATGTTTCACTGCAAGGTATCTGTTTTCCTTTCACTTATACATATGTGGTTATATTTTTGAAAAAGATCAAATACCTATTTTAAGTCTTTTTAAGATTCAAATGTAATTGTGTACAATGTACACTCCGATTTGAAAACTATTATAGTTGTATTACCACTATCAAAATCAATGACTGGAGTCTACATATGAAAATGAGTCAAGAATAGTACAACTATTTAAAGAGTAGCACGTTTTGGTTCACACAATTTGCTTTCGTATGTACATCGATATATTAATCAGCGCTTACTTTCTTTTCGGTTTTGTTTTGAATATATAATGTACCTTCGGTTTCCGTTAATCTTAAATCCAGAATAAGCCTTTAGAAAGCAGAACGGAAGATATTCTAAAGGTTTTTGGATTAGAGACAGTCTTTAATCTAAGCTGAATTTTCTTAGTTTTAATTACACTTTTGTTTTTAATAATTACGTTACCGAAAAATAATGTAAAAATAAAAATAAAAAATGTAAATAAACGTCATCTTAATTGGATAGCTTACCAACTTACTTTAGTTAAAATCCAGAAAGGGCTTCGGCAGTAATTAAAATTATACATTTAAACAAATTAAAAATATTTTGAAAAAAAAACTGGTGTATATGGAATAAGAGCCAAATTAAAAACTACGAAGTTTTTTTTTTAATTACTTTTATTGCAGCTACATATGTATATGATACAATCGTCCGATTCTGATTAATTTAAAACATAAATTATTTCATATATGTATGTAGCTGTCATAGCAAAATTCGGAAAAACGTTTGGCTAATTTATAAAAAATAAATATAGGCATCCGATTTTTATTAAATTTATTGTTTTCTTGTTTATTACAATATATCATTTCGGTGATAAAGTAATCAAAATCGCACAGAAGAACTTTGTTTTAGCTAAATACTGGAAAAAAAAACCCTCGTTGAAGCTCTGTTGATTTCGATCTAAATCCTTCTAATTTGGTGTTTAGCACATTTGGAACAATATGTACATTCGGGCTTAAATTTATTAAAATCGATTGTGATGTACCTATATATCTGCCATAGGAACAGCTAAAAATTAATTGCTTTTAATCATATAATGTTCTAACTTGGTATACACAATTTTATTTCAAACACATTTTTGCCTAGTCTTTTGCCTTAAAAACATACACATACCAATGTATTACATATGTGTGTACACACATATGTATGTCTCTTTTTACCAAGCACACAAATGCGAGGTCTGATGCCTGATTCAGAGAATGATAATGTGCAAAGCAAAATATCAGTTTGAAAAGCTTCGCGACGTGTGGTGGATGTTGAAGTCGAGCAAAACAAAATATGTACATATGTATGTTTACGTGAAAGCCCCCAGTGATTCTATGAATGAAGGACATTTTATACTTGTTCGATGAACTATTTATCAGCATCCAACTTGTAACGTTAAACAAGGTCCTATTACCAATTGGTAACAGGTTATTTTTCAGCTAGTTAATGAACAAAATCAACGTTTGAAAGAGCTTTGAGATCAATTTGTTTCAATGGTCCAAATGACCTGTTGCTGTGGAAAACTAAAAAGTGGCCAGGATGAAACCTATCAGAGGTTTAAAAATGAGGATGTAAGTTTGTCGATACTAATTGCTTTCATCGTTAAGTTCACGGTACATCAATAGTATCAAAAAGCACCACCACCATCGACACACAACGCCTGTAATAATACATACATATAAAGAATATATGTATATACTATGTATGTACAGATACTAGGAAAGTTTCTTGATGTGTATATATGTACATATATAGGCACCCACGCATATCTAAATTTATATGCGTAGGCAAACAAAGTTATCAGAATCCAAAAGCCCAATTTTTCGGGGTTGATAAAAAGTATTGAGCTATAGGTGGTCAGGCCTGCATAAAATCAAATATCAAACAGTCCGCGCACAAACCGCCGCTAAAGACACACGTAATTTGGTGTCAGCTACAAAAATACATATGTACCTACGTACATACATATATATTCCGTCAGAAAACATCTCGTACATCTAAGCGCGCTGAATTCCACTCAAAGAGCGAGAGAGCGTATAAGCTGCTTGCTCAGAACCGCATGTGCATCGGGTAAAATCGGTAAACCCAACTTTACTTAGTCAGTATGACGGCAATAATACTCCTGGTCTGCCACTCGGTTCGCGAACTCGTCGATCTCTCAGATGCTCTGTGGCACAACGCCTTCAATATCGAAAGAAGTTTACAGTGTTATCACATCAAGCGCCGCTTGCAACTGTTTCGGTTTCATTGCCGCGAGTTCTGGTTGCGTCAGGCCTCGAATAACGCTAATCCAATGCATCGGAATGCAGACATAGATTTTGCAGCCATTGAGGCGGGTGCAGACTGTGTCCAAAATATGGATGCCTTTGACCATACGACAACGGAACTGCACAAGAGGTTTTTGCAGGCGGAGAGCACGAGACTCTTTCCCTTGGATTGCATCAGCGACATCGAGGTGGTGGATGGAAATGCATTAAAAGTGCGTAATCGGGAAAGTTGAGAGCAATTGCTAAGTAGTTTGGTGGGTGTGTTTAAAGTGTGTATGAACGTGTGTTTGTACGAATTATGTACACATGCTCTTCTCTTTTTATGTCTTTCTTTGTTTTGACATTTAGCGTACTCCGCAGTAATTCCCTTATTCGCGTTCTGGGGGAGCTCTCAACAGCTGTTCGGCACAGTCGCGGTCTGACACGGTGGCTACTAGCATCGGTTTCTTTAGCTCTTGCCCCACTTTACACAATGTACAACACTGTAGCCACTACGCTCTACTGTGCTTTTAAATTTTTTGTGTATAGGTGGCTTCACTACAAGTTTAAATATGATGTTGTAATGTATTCACTGTTTTAAATGATTTTTCTATAGTGGTGGTCCCACTGTTGTTTTAAATAAGTTGAGTTTTGTGGTTCATTATGGTTTTAAGTGAATTGGCTATAGTGGTGGTACTGTGTTATTAAAGCAAATGTGGTTTGTGGCTCCACTTATATAGTGTCTCCACCGCGGTTTAAAACGGGCTTTGTAGGGCGGTACCCCTGTGTTTCTAAAACAATTGTGTACACTCATTGGTGGCGCCAGAGCAATTTGTTTTCAAAGCTCTTATGTATCATGGCGCCACTGTTCCTAAAGCTGTTTACACAACTCGTCGATCTGTCAGATGCTCTGTGGCAGAACGCCTTCAATAACGAGCGAAGTTTAAACTATTATCTATTAGCAACTGTATCGATTTTTTTGCTGCCAGCTCTATTTGCGTCAGGCCTAGAATACTCTGATCCAATGCAACGGAAGGCAGACATAGATTTTGCAGCCATTGAGGCGGGTGCAGACTGTGTCCAAAATATGGATGCCTTTGACCATACGACAACGGAACTGCACAAGATGTTTTTGCAGGCGGAGAGCACGAGACTCTTTCCCTTGGATTGCATCAGCGACATCGAGGTGGTGGATGGAAATGAATTCAAAGTGCGTAATCGGAAAACTTGAGCGCAATTGCTAAGCAGTTTAGTGGTTGTGTTTAAAGTGTGTATGCACATGCGTTTGTACACATCATGCACAAATGCTCTCCTCTTTTTCCGTCTTTGTTTTGACATTTAGCGTACTCCGCAGTAATTTCCTTATTCGCGTTCTGGGGAGCTCTTAACAGCTGTTCGACACAGTCGCGGTTTGATAGGGGGGCTTCTATCATCGGGTTATTTAGCTCATAGTCAAGTCAAGACAAGTCTCAACCCAGGCAACTCTTCGTAATCATTGATAGTTTAATTATTCTTCTCAAGCGATAAGCTCCCAACACGAGCCAATTCAGACGCTTACTCGCCATTTATTTGTACATCTGTTCGGGGTCTGTGTATATATGTACATATATACATACATTGTCGATTTTATATGTAGAGTTCGAAGAGCTTTTGGCGTTGTCATAGCGGCGTAGCTTAAATTCTCTTCAAGCGAGTAATTCGCGAAACGGGAGAAACAATAATAACAGATGAATATTCGGCAACCAAATCATTTTGTTAAACACCATTTGAATATTAATTCCTTCGGACTTCTGAAGACTGGACGGAACTCTTTAGAAGAGAATATTTTAAACAACTCAGAAATCTACATGCGCAGTATTTAAGTTACAGTAACTTTTTTTTTTGTTCAATGTGCGGTGAGACACCTAACGAGCAAGGACGATGTTGATTCATTTCTTGATATTTATACACAAATGCGATAAAAGCGATTCATAAAGTGCTGTGTGATTAAAACATTACATCAGTTGAATTAGAGGAATATTTTGTTTAGTAGTTCTTGGTATTCCGATTCTCAAATTAGGACGGAAAATGTGTCTTAGGGTTTTGTATGAGAAAATAATGTGCTGTTGTCCCAAGGCGAAAAAGGGAGGTTTAAATGAGGTAAGCAAGCATTGAAAATATTGACGGAAAAATGTAAATAGAATATAGGGATCAAATCAAAAGATTATTATGATGGCTTACATACATATGTAAGGAACTATAATTTTGATTGTCCTTAGGAAATTACAAGTGTTTTATCGAAAGTGCGCTAACTAAACAGTTAAAGATGATTTTCCATTTGCATCATATACGGAATAGTTGAAAACGCTAATGGGTTTTGAAAATTTTCCTACATTTTAATCCCAACAGTGCCTTTTACCATTAACCTGTATTAAGAGTAACTTAAAGTATTACTATTTTGCTTAAATTCACATTCTAGGCCTCATTTTACGAATATGCAGATGATGTGCCAAAATATAGGAACGATCAACTTGGGGAATTGAGCGAAGGGATTAGTTTCACCGTAACCGGAAATCTCTCAGTAAACTGCGAGAGGTAAGTATGTTGTGTAGCCAAGTTTATGTGATGTATTTTTTAAACTGTTCCTTATCCTTTTTAGGTTTTCCATCAATCTAGTTTATAATAATGATTCGCGAGATGTGGCGCTCCACATTAATCCACGGTTGCCACAAAACTATATTGTTCGCAACACCAAAGTACAGGACATTTGGGGAAACGAGGAAGTGTCCTCGGCATTGCCGTTTCTTTTAAGTCGGGGCGACGAGTTTTCTATTCAAGTACTAGTTACTGAAGCATGCTATATGATATCGGTAAACGGACAACACTTTGCGGCGTACACTCATCGAATCCCTTATGGGGATGTCCGCATTCTGGAGGTGAAAGGAGATGTTAGTAACGTGGAAATGATGCGATCTTTAGTCTTAAAGTATCCTCAACGATTACCACAGTCGGAGGCTAATAACATTGAGCTCCACATAGATGATGAGATTAATGAAATTGACGCCAGCGTTGAGGAGACTGTTAAAATACCCCATGAGTGGTGCCTTATTAGCGCCCCGAACACTCAGTCGGATAGTTCGCCAAAGAGTAACTACAGTGCGAATGATCTTGGCCTTACTTTGCCTTATTATGGAGCACTGCCACCAAACTCGTTGATCGAAGGTCGATGCCTGAAGATTGAAGGACGAGTGCGATTGCTTCCACACTCATTTTACATAAATCTGCAACAGGGGCAGGACATATGGCCACATCCAATAATAGCATTCCACTTAAACCCACGTTTTTCAAAAGCGAGCAGTGGCGCCATTGGAAAGGCGGTGGTGTGTAGAAATGCCTGGCTTAATGGAGCTTGGGCACAAGAGGAGCGTTCGGAGTTTGACACAAACTTTCGCCCTGGTCGATCTTTTTGTTTAGCCATTGTTTGTACCAAAACATCCTTTGAAGTGTATGTCAATCGTCAGTTTATGACTGATTTTAAATATAAGGTTAGCCCAGCGGTGGTTGACACCGTCTACATACAAGGAGATCTTAAGCTTTGGAATGTAACGCTGGAAAAAAATCACATTATTAAGGGCAAGAATGTCCGAGTCTATCAGAATCCATTGTACTCTAGTGAGTAGTAGCTGTTTGTGGCGAGGCCTTTTGGTTATACTTTTTTGTTTAGTAATTGAGCGACAATAAAAAAGTGATACGCTTTTTAATTACAGAAAATTTGTGTTAACAAATAAAATTATGGGAACATCACCCGATTTTCATTATTCTGACTTAGACATGTAAATTTATTTAATTGTTTTTGAGGAAAACAGTGCGTTTTCTTTTTTAATGTCAAAATTGGGGTATTTATTCAAATGTTATATTTTAATCTCCCTTTTAAAACAACAATTTTAAAGTTACTTTCTATAATATTGGAGTATAAAATGGAGACCAAGTTTATGAGCGTGTATCCTGGAGCGAGCACCGTAGCTCTAAGACGAGTTATGGACGCAATGTCGTTGTTCTATGAAAAGCGCTCAGCAGCCCATCGACGCAAACATTTTAAAGTGATCCAATGTCCAAGGCCAGGACTATGTTTCGTCTTCCACGGCATGATCCTTATGGCATGTGAGCATTTTGTTATAGATTTTCTCACCAAGCAGGGAAGTGAAATATGCGAGGAGTGCGATGTACTGCTGCAAATAGGATCACGACTTCCTCAAAATTATATAACGCGCAATTCACGTCTTAAGGGAAAATGGGGACCAGAGGAAAATTCCTCATACTTAACCTTCCAGCTGAACCGGGGAAAGTCTTTTTGGATGCAAATATTACTTACTGAGGAGTGCTTCTTTATTTCAGTCAATGGCTATCATTTTGCGAAATATATTCACCGTATGCCCTATCGATGGTTGGAAGCTGTGGATGTACTCGGAGATGTCTCCGACATCGTTATCGATACGTACTATGTTTCCGAGTATCCTATACGCCTAACACATTCATTGCCTCGAGCCATTCCACATTTAAGCAAAAATCTCCGAGACACCGAGAACACGGAAACTGAATGGATGGTCTTATCTTCTCTGGCAAAGATGTCATCTAAAAAGTTTCTCTACCAGCCGAGTCTCCCTCTTCCTTTCTATGGAAAGCTGTTGGACGAAAACGTCCTCAGAGAAGGAAGTGCACTTCGAATCGAAGGTCGTGTCCGCTTGATGCCCCAAAGATTCAGTATAGCATTTCAGAAAGGACAGGAAATTTGGCCGCAACCCACAGTGTCATTATATTTTAGTCCCTCTTTCTTGCGAAATAGGCACGACAAAATCGGCACGGCTATTATTACACGACGTGCCTATTTAAACGGTGACTGGGTGAACTGTACAGTGTCTCGTTTAAATACAAGTCTACGGCCTGGAGGTGCCTTTGTCATAGTAATCGTATGCCGAGATGAATACTACGAATTGTTTGTGAACAACAGGTCCTTGTTTCATTTTAAGTATCAAATGAAGCCAGATTGTGTTGACATTGTGAATATTCGTGGAGATATCAAGCTTTGGGAGGTAGTTGTTGAAGGCAACACTACCTACAAAAAACCGCGAGGTAATATTAAGTTTTCCAAATTAATATTTCGGCTTACCGTTTCAATTTATTAAAGTTCGAACTGCTATGGAACGAGCTTTAGGTGCCTGGAAGCGATCTGAAATCCCCCAACTTCAAATATAATTGAATTAGTGTCAAACATGAATAATGTTAAAAAACGATTTCTCAAATTAATAAATCAATCCCGTCCAAATATTTTTGAATGCACCTGCACCTCACATTTACGGATCGTATAACTACTCTGCAATTAAAATAGTTCTGCGCCCTGTGCCTAGGGCACCGCAGAGCTCCGCTCATAAATGTCAATGCGCTCTAGACGTCAAGCGGTCGTCTGCCCATAAGCGGCCCGAATAGCAAAAGCAGTCTCAGCTTCTTCCAGCGAGTCCGCCAGCTGAGGCTGCCTAAAAGGCATTGGAAAATGATTATTAAAAATGATAATCGATTAAGGACGCAGTACGGCCGAGCTGCTCGAGTCGTCACTGAGAAGGCTGTCCTGAAATGACGTTTATGTCTACATGTGTTTCTTAAGACAGTTGACATTGTTTTGTCATGGCCAGCAAAAAGCGGCAAAAAAACCAAGCCGAAAACGTCAAGATCTGCAAATATTTCCCAAGGCTCGGCAAGGTAAGAAGAAAAGCTTCAGCCAAGGAAAAAATATTATTTATGATTCAAGTTTGTTCGTGTCAAGCATGCTTTGTACCATTTTGCTGATAAACTAGATTGCTGATGCTTGATACGATAAGGGCCCATTGTCAATGGGTCCAAATATTGCCATAATTTGGAAATTCTAAAATAATTGTAGGATTTACGTTCATTTAAAATAACTATATTGAGGATTACTCAATTTGACATAACGAAGCATTTCCGACCTGTCAAGGAATATGTATAGTTAAAGAGTAGATGTTGAAAAGTTAAGATGCACATTACTGTGCTGCCTGCATAGTAAAACGTTACCCTTTATTCACAAATTAAATTCGATATAACCTGCAGAGCGAATATTTCAGTCAGAAGGTTGCAACGCAGTAAGGAAGACATTTGCTACATGGTCACAGCAATGGCTTAATCGATAATTATGGTTTTCATTACCTACATTTTATAACTCTAAAGTGAGAAGTGGGGGTGATACATTTTTTCTTGATGCATCCCCTTTTCTTCCTGACAAAAGTCATATATACGCCTATGGTTTAAATTTTTTTGTTAAATTGAAGAATTTCTGACCAAACCAGATCAATCAAATATCACAAATTTGGGCAGGCCGGCAATACTCAACTAAAAAGTAAATGGTAACAAATGCATTCGCACCAATTTACAACATGACGTGGTCCTCATTGGCCTTACCGATTAGCCAGCCAGACGCAAAATGAGTAGGCTTATCAATATTCCGAATGTGTCCCCATGTCACACAGAACACTGTGCAATCAATGGCTCCGCAGTGCGGTAGCAGTGGTACATTCTAAATTAAACCTCAATTGAGGTTTTGTCCTCTGTTCCTCCTTAGTCCCCTTAGTGTTGCTGTGCCCAAAGGTTTGCCACAGCAGCTGCCACTGCCAATTGTTTGAAATGGTCAACGGAATGCAACCCGTTTCTCATTCGTCGTAAGCATCCAACGAAACCGAGTGCTCGCGCCTGCTGCCTTTCATGCCGAATTGCAAGCCAAAAACGAAGTTATCGAAAAATTGGTCCGCGGATATTTATATGGTTCTCAGCCGGGTTTTTTGCTCGGGCTGCTGTCCATTGTTCTTACTATATTGTGCATGTAATAATCCAAGGACTCGCACTTGCTGATCAGACGTATCAATTCGACTTCGCTGTGTCAAATCCAATTACATAGCAAAAGAAAAATAGTTGTTCTTTTATGTGAACTCCGGATTTGCAAGGACTCCTCCAGATTAGGGTGAGCAAAACAAGGAAAGCTTTTTATACATTACCTATTTTCAATTATCAGCTGTACAATTATTTTATTCCCTTTATTCTTTAAGGACGCCATTACCTTGTTTCATGTTTTTTTCAATCTACTTGTTCGGTGCTCCATGAAATAAGTAGATGCAGGGTATTTTCCCAAAAACCAGGTTAGACCGCTCGTTTCTCCTTTATAACATCACTGTATATATGTACATATACCGGCATGTTTAAATGTGGGCTCCTCCAAGTAAGGGACCAGTGGTCAGACTGGAGCACCGGCTCTCGAATTCTCAGAATATCGCCCGAGATCAATCTTACACTCGTTAGATTGCATATTTTCATATGGTAGTTGGACACATCGTTCTTTCGCATCCATTTTCGGTGTTGCGGTTGCGACGCCATACACTAGAAGCCGGCGGCGTCAACGTCTGCTCCTGCTACTTTCTGTTTTATAAAAGGCATCCGAACTTGTCGGAGCTCATTGAAGGCCAACAATTTGAGAGATTTGATTGTCTTCAGATAGTCAGCTTCGATCTGCTTTAACATTTTAGAAGTGAAATTAAAAGTTCGAAACTAATAAATATATTTTTATCAATTATTAATTTTAAGTACAATTTTTAAAGTGCTCGTTCTTACCTATTTCATTTTCATTCATTATAAATGTGTACAAGGTTTCTTTGGTCAGAGACAGGCTTGACATTTATATATATAGAGGGGAATTTGTTTACTTGTTGTTTTATATAACATTTCCACATATATATGCATAAATACATATACATATATATGTACATGTAATAGACCTATAGTTAGTTAATAAGTCCCGTACATAAGCACATACCTATATCACATAAATGACCCGCGGCAGTTGTGACTGTGTTGAAAAGTACATAACGATTTTTCTTTTAATGGGCCACATTTGGCGAGGTCAGCCAGACAAGTGGGAGTGGGATTCTGAGTTGGACCAGAAGGGCACATTGCGTAGAAGCACGGACCTGATGGCGCCATTTCGATGCGCATGCCCATGTCTTGGATTAGTGGGATGGCATGGATTTGGCGATTGCAATGAAACGGAAGTGGACACAGATGGTTACAGTTGAAATATGTAAATGCGTAAATTGGCAGCGTAAAATTGTTATCCCGGGGATGAGTCATTTGATGATACCCGGCCTCAAAAGAAGTATACTATCAAAAAGGAGCTAAGTAAGGTTGCAATTTGTTTTCCATATTGCATCACTTGTTTGTGCAGCCATGATTACAAATTAAAGAAACTTTAATAAGATAATAATTGAGATAATTAATATGGAGGTACTCGTTCAGACTAGAAGTGTGCATATGAGTCAAGTGGAAAGGTTTATTTTGAATATTCTACGCGACAATTGCTAGACATCCATTTGGCATGCAATAAAGACTGTCTGTCGCGCACGTCGCCTAATAGCTTTCTTTCCTTTTCTTCCACTTTTGCCAGGTCAGCTATTGGACTGTCACAGGCCCACCAGTCTGGTTTTATTTTAAAATTGTCAATTGCGCCTTGCAATCTAGGCGCCAACTAATGGTGTGCGTGTGGGTCTTGACGAACACATACACAAACTCCTACCAAGTTTTTCTCAACCTTACATTCTTGCGTAGCGAAAAGTATCTAGCTTTTCTATCCCCGCCGCCAGCTATATATAATACTAATATCTTTTGATGTGTATTAAATCAATGAGTTGCTTTTTCGTGGCTATTTCTATGATTTACAACTACTGTGATCAAGATTAAATTCACTATCAAGATTAAAGTGCATATGGCAAAAAAAGTTACGATAGGACTAGCTAAAGCTGAAGAACAACTTAAAAATAGCTTTGCTGGAGAAAATGCTAAAGCGGAGATATTAGGCATCTATTTTTAGCCTTCCTCTATAACGAGTTGTACATTTTTGGTTAATTATCAATCTAGTCCAAGCAGCATTGATCGTGCTAATTTGTACGCATACTTAATGAAAAGATCACGCTAGCTCGCTCAGCATGTGATGCCAAGACGGTACTTAGTTTATTGGCTCACCCTCGCAGCAACACCTTGTGGGGCACACGCGCAACTGGCAACTGCCCCGAAATAGACGTTGCCACACCTGTGACAGGTGCGACAATATTTGTCGTCTGCTATAACTTAAAGCTGCAACTACAATTGTATGTGGTATTTTTAGACGACTTTAAAGTCAATATTTGCGCAACAATTTTTCAGTTTGCTCCGACTTAAATAACATCTCGTCACGACATGTGATGCACCGGTTTACCATAGTTTATATTTTTACTTATTTACACAAATGCTAATTTGTAACTTCGCCACCAGAAGTCATTTCTATCTGAGCAGATGTTCATTTGATTAATATTATTGGTATACCGAGAAGATGAAATTTCTAAAACTCAGCATATGGCTTGCCTTGTCTTTTAACCCGATGTTACCGAAAGAAAAATTAATAATTATTTATTTAGGACCCTTGCACACTTTCCCAATCCATTGGTAAAGTCCTGCGTTTTAGCCATTTATTTTGTTGTTTTTTCTTGGGCAATTATGTGCAGCATTTATGTGTTTATGCTCCCGGAAAACTTGTGGGAATATGGTTCAAACATTATATTGTGTGTTTATATTCTTAATTTATGGTGAATATATACTTCTCTTATTATGATTTATTTTATTAATATTCGATTATGAAAGTGGAGGAAAAAATGCAGTCCCAGCTCAACCACCTGCTTTTTGTTGAATAACGCCCATGCTTAAGTCATTATATATTGATCGGAAATTGCTGTTATTAACCTGTTTTCTGTAGGATTCTTAGCTGATGTAATTTGTTCTGGATATTGCACTGGGTCAACTAGATGCAGGTACTTTGATAATCATATGCATAGTTAACAGTGTTGAGCTCTTTCAGAATACGTCATGAGTTCTCATGCACTGTCAACTGCGATATTGGTAAACTTTGTGCCTGCTAGATTAGCTGACAAATATATTTCTGAACTTGATAAGTTGTGCCAAAACGCGTTATGATAACGTGGATGCGTTCAGGTGTACTCAAATCGATAGCCTGCCGTTCTTTGCGCACCTGTTGAGTTTTTAATATCACGAAATAGCTTGTTGCAAACGATAAGATTGTTTAACGTACAGACATAAAATAACCCATAACGCCGTCATTTCTATATGGTTTCCTTGCTTTGAAGTATTCAGTGCGCTTGCACCCAGATGACTAATATTTTAA